GGAAGGAAGGAAGGAAGGAAGGAAGGAAGGAAGGAAGGAAGGAAGGAAGGAAGGAAGGAAGGAAGGAAGGAAGGAAAATTTCAGCTTCTGCAATTGATTTGTTCTTGTGAGATGTATTAATGGACATTCAATTAGGATAAAGGATTGAGTGTAATTGGAATACTGTCCATAAAATCCAGCATTGGATGGGAGATTTCACAAAATCCAATTTCTTGAGAGAAACTGCCCTTATGGCCAGCATGAACCTGAGCCCTTAGCACATGTACTCCTCCACTGCTCCTTTTATGAGAACGCATGTGCTCACATACCTCCTCCTTGTATGAGATCAAGCTTCTAATGAGGGAGAAGGGACTGAGTTCCTCCTCTCAGACTGCAACACGTTTCTCACGAACAGAGGAGGCAGGTTCTTATCGGCAGTTATTGCCATAGAGAAGCCTTGAGATTGGAACAACATAATGTTGGCGTTCTTTTGCTCTTTTAGCTTACATTTATTGTGATTTTATCCACTTTGTCTTGCTCTGCTTTATCTCATTTTATTTTGCTGACATGTACATGTAAATTCTAACTGGCAGGTCCTTAGGGTTTTACTGTTTTCACTATAAGTGAGCCAACTTTTCCGTGTTGTTCTATTTAATGTTGTGACTACTTTGCTGGTTCTTGACCGTAAATCAAACAAACATAAAATCCAAAGAGAAAACGACAGCCCTCTTCTTACGACTTCCCTTCCTTTTTCTGCACAAAGGTGCATTTTTCAAGCTTTAAAATCCATTTCAAATGTTGCTAAAATATTCCAAAGAAGGGAAGGGGTTCAACCTCACGGATATGGGCTAGTCTGGGCCGTGCGTAGCCACCTGGCCAGGCAAAAGATGAAGCCCCAAAGAGGGGCGAGACTCCGTTTGCTGCTAATGGCCTTCGGCTGCCCCGTGACAGGAGGGGGAGGACGTTGGAGGCAGCCCACCATCCCTGACCCACCCTTCAGAGCAGGTCACGCTATTTTCGGCAGCGCTTCTGTGCGCAGGAAGGGCATGGCGCAGGCCGGGGTGGGTGTCTAACCTTGAAGACAGGCACTAGAGTGGTGCTTACCACTTCTTTTGCTGACATGAAAGTACAGGTGAAAATGCCCAGGGAGACCAAAGCTATAGAGATATATTTGGAGACGGTGTACCTGTGCAAGAGAAGGAAGGAAGAACTTCAACAGAACAGCCTCAGGCCCACTCGCCGAACTCCCAGCTGTGCATGCAGAACCCCTCCGAGCCTTGAGAACCTCACTTCCCAGCAAGAAGGACAGCCCCACTCAGAACAACCCTGGAAACGTCTACCCAGCAATGGGAACACCCTGACGGGATTTGGCCCCGACGGGATCGGCCTCATCCTGGTCACAGGCCTGCAAAGCAGGACCAGCCTCCAATGGTGGGGCAGAAGGGGACAACTCCACAAGCTGTTGTCCATCCACTCTTCGTTCCCATGGTATCCATTTCGGGAACAGGCAAGCTACACCCTTGGGGTTGCCATTTTGTGACAGCGCCCCAAACTGCAAATGTGCCCAGTAGCAAAAGGAAGGATTATTTAGAGCAGTGTTTCTCAATCTTGGCAACTTTAAGATGTGTGGACTTCAACTCCCAGAATTCCCCAGCCAGCAAAGCTGGCTGTAAGTTCCTTTTAGCCTCTAAGTCAGTGTTTCTCAACCTTGGCAACTTTAAGATGTGTGGACTTCAACTCCCAGAATTCCCCAGCCAGCAAAGCTGGCTGTAAGTTCCTTTTAGCCTCTAAGTCAGTGTTTCTCAACCTTGGCAACTTTAAGATGTGTGGACTTCAACTCCTAGAATCCCCCAGCCAGCTTTGCTGGCTGGGGAATTCTGGGAGTTGAAGTCCACACATCTTAAAGTTGCCAAGGTTGAGAAACACTGACTTAGAGGCTAAAAGGAACTTATTTTATAGAGAGGAAGGAAACAGGAAGTCTGACTTTCCTCTTTCCAAGCTGGATCCCAGAACTGAAGCAACAAGATCCTCATACAGAATGGCTCCCTCTTGCATTGCAACAACAGACAGCGCCCCTTCCATTTAAAACACCCCCCCCCTCCATGAATGGCAGCCAAATCTCAGCAGTGCAATTCCAATTTTTTTTTTTTTAAATTTATTTGAGGGGGGTCTCTTGAAGGAGGAGAATGAGAGCATCTCATTCCCATCCTTAACCCCTTCCACACCCGTTTGGCCCCGTCCCTTCCAGAGACACCCCAGCATCATTTAATGGCCCCTCCGGTTCTTCAGAAAACCAGGAGCCTGGGTTGCGGTCCTTGAGTCTCCGAGCTTGCTCATCCCTGATTGAAAACGACTGAAAAAGGTCTTGTTGAGAAAGAGAAGGTCAACACTGGAGGGAAGCTGGGGCTCCAAGCTTCTCTCTTGATGTCCTCCTACCCGCTGCCAAACCCAAGCATACACGTTCCCATTGGTGGTCCAACCACAAGGAGAAGCCATAGCCACGACCTTCCTCCGTGAGCGCAAGCATCCGGTTTCACTGCTATCCAAGGGAGCCATCTTACCTTTTGTTCAGGATACTGATGCCCAGAGCCATGCTGGCGATCAAGGAGCCCTGCAGGGAAAGAAACGGGAAAGAAGTGAAAACAGGGCAGGTTAACAGTGACTGGGATGGTAGGAAGAAGAGAGGTTGAAGGCACTAGATATCTTTTGAAGGTCAAGAAGGTTGAGAGGGGATATGGTAGTGCTCTTCAAAGGATCTCACACTGAAGGTGAAGATCTCTATTGCTCTAGAAGGCAGGTTGTAGAATTCAGGAAGATATGATTCCAACTCAAAGCTTTCCTAACAGTGTCCCAGAGAGGTGGTGGGCTTCCATTCACTGAGGTCACCAAGCAGAGGGTGGATAGCCACCTGTTGGGGAAGTTTTCATTTGATTCTTGCACTAGCAGGGACTGGACTCCATGGCCCTTTCCAATCTAGAAGTCTACAGACAGGAAAAGGGTTGAACACGGAAAGTCTCGGGGCATGGGTACAACCATGTGTCCCTCCTGGTGACTGAAAATCCTTCGGGGGGCCCCTTGCAACAAGGGTTGGGTCAATGCCAGGTGAGGAACAGGCTCTCTGGAGCAAAAGAGCTCCAAGAATTGCAACTGATTCCCTGCCTGCTCCCCTCCTTCTGTAGGGACGCACTTAAGAAGATGCAAAAAGGAATGGGTGGTAGGGTTGGAAAGGATCTTGGAGGTCTTGTGATCCAATCCACTGCTCAGGGCAGGAATCCTGAGATCAATTTAATGAGTGTCCAACCTTTGCTTGAAGTCCTCAAGGGATGGAGCCCCCACAACTCCAGGGGGCAGGCTGTTCCACTGTTTCATAGCTCTCATGACCAGGGAATTCCTCCTTTTTTTGAGTTTGGATCTCCTCCATAAAGCTTCCACCCGTTCATTCTTGTCATACCCTCAGGTGCTAAGGAGAATAAATCCACACTCTCTTCCCTTCAAATCCTATGGCCTTCAACTTCTAGACCTCCCAGACAATGCAGCCCAACCTGGCAATGGCCTGTTCTGAATGGGAGGGCTGTGGAACTCATCCATCAAGGACTCCAATCCCATAAGCCAGAACTCACCGATCTAAATATCATATGCAGAGGCATCGCAATGTTCAGGTTGAGCGCATAGTTGTTCACTACGCTCACTGTGAAAAACATAGCCACCATGATCAGGTAGAACCTAGAAAGAGAAAGGCCACCAAGAGTTGTCACCTTCCAGGTTACATGGGATACGAGGTTCCTGGAAAGCAGCCCCCCCATTTGAAATTCTATCAGCCCCCCTTGAATTCTTACTAAAGCAGAAAGAAGGGTTACAAATCAAATAATTAAAATACTGTTAGCTTTCCAAAAGTTATTAAAAACAGAGCTATTTAGGGAAGCCTTTGGGGCATAAAATGATGCTGCTGATTTATCCATGTATATAACTGACTTGTTTCTCTTTGGATTCATGTTTTACAGTTCTGCATCTTACTTACTTACTTACTTACTTATTTATTTATTTTTCTGACCCACTATATCAGGGTCATTTTATTGCCTTGTTCGGTATACCCCTGAGAGACTTTCTAACGGGTGCAGGCAGAACTCAAATAAATAAAACCGTAAATCAGAATGTTGAAAGGAGGCTCTTTTAATAGCCCCCAATAGATCGGTATCGGATTTAGTGGGGTTCTTCCAATCCCATATACTTAACAAACACAGATTTTAATCTCTGGGCAGGTGAATTTCCAAGTTACCCTCTAACAAAGGCAAAAGTATCGACAATGGGACCGGAAAAGCTGAGTGGGTCAGTGAAAAAACCCCTAATCTATACTTGGAGAAGGCTTTTTTGAGGAAGACCAAAATGGTAAAGCAGACCATGGGACCTGACCGCCAAGGAGACACGTCACCCTTTAAGGACGCCCTTTGACGGACGGCAGCGTCCACTCTGCGTCTACTGGGGCCCAGAACAAGTCACTTCCAAAAAGCGGGAGTTTTCAGCTCCGTTCTGGGATCGGCCATACCTGATAGGGATGGCGGGCCGCTTCCGTCCGAAATTTGCCTCGAAGATGAAGCCCTCCAAGGCGATGAAGAAGAACTGCGCGAAGGTGATCAGATTCCCGCTGCCTGGAAACTCCCTGCCCGTCGGAA